CAAACAGAAAGAGATATTCTAATTTAAAAATGAAAAAAAATAATACCTGTGAGAACTTCTCTCAGTCATGACGTCACCGTTCTGGTCTGTGGTAGTCGTGGTTGTCACGTGACTCTCGTACGGAGCGACGGTCCGCGCATGCGCATTGTCGGTCACGGAGCTGCTGCGTGTGGCTGTACTTCCGCTTACGTCATCATACGAAATCTCGGCAACAGCGTTCAGTGTGTCTGTTCGTGGAGCTGGGGACAGGAAGTCAGATTGTGGTCATACCAGGTGCTCATTGCGGATAGATTCGAGTCAGATCGGATCAGATCGGATCAGATCGGATCGGGTTGGGTCGGGTCAAGTCGAATAATCGAGGCTTCAGTGCACACTACGAATAGACCCCCCCCCCCTTTTTTTTTTTTTACTGTGACAAATTTGGCAAGAATAGAAACATATGACTGCGTATGGTGTTATTCAAGACAAACTTAATTACCGTTTACGACACAGCTATCTATTTCCTACAATGTCGCGGAGCGTTTAGTGCACTCGTCTCCGATGCGGAAAGTCCGGGTTCGAGCCTCAGTCTGGACACAGATTTTTTTCGCCCCCTGCTGCCCACCCAGCAGTAATGGGCACCTGACTTCGAGTTTGGGGAGTAAAGGCAGTGTGGAAAGGAACTGGCCACCCTACCACAATATGCCGAGGCCCAGGAAGTTGGCTCACTAACAAGACAATCCCCAATGTCCGGATCGGACGCGGGAACAACTTTACTTTTATTTATTTATTTATTTATTTTTGTTTACCTTCATGCATGTACTTCTGCGTATCGCAGTTGCATTCTTGAGATGTTCTTGAATCCTACAGACATAAGAAAAGTCGATAGCTTTCTATCAGAGTGGTTGGTTGGCGGGTGCTCTGAGGTGGTTTGCTCCTTCTTTCCTATCAAACATCTATCGTCCTTATCTCCCCTTCTTCTTTCTTTATGTTTGTTACTCTCTTGTGACACCTCTAATCTTCTGGCGCTCATATGACCTTATGCAGTTGTGAGCGCCGTAAAACCTGTACTAAAACAAACAAACAAGACCTATCAGTACCAGCTTCTCCAAATTCGTGTTTTTCAAGGTCGCGGTTTACTGCAGTCGAATGGTAACCCCGATGAGGACTCTGCTGGTGAGCTGTGACGTAACCCATGTGGGTAATGCAAAATGTGAGTGAGAAGAGGGAAGTGCTGTGAGCAATTCCATTTTCCGCGTGACGAAGATTTGTAGTATTTTATATAAATTTATGAAAAAAAAAGTGTTTAAAAAATCTATCCTCAATTGTTGGGGGAAAATATGATAAATTGATACAAACCACTGTGCGAAGTATGGGTAACATTAATTTTCCCGTTAAAAAGATATTTGAGGATAGGTTGACCGCATTATACTAGTTATCCAGACTGTTGTTATTACCCTCATGTCAGTTGTTATCTACCTTGTTATCTTTATCTCATTTATTATATCTTTTATAGTCTCTTCCATTATTCTGGGCTGTTTTTTAATCAACCCCCC